AAGAAACAAATCAAGCCGAAACAGATGAGAAAAACAAACCAGTGCAGGCCAGGTAAGATTAATCAGAAAGACCTGAACCAGAGTGACATGGATGCACAGAATTTTGGGGTAGAAGACTGATGGAATGAGAAAAAACTAATGTAAACCCATCTGAACTTAACGACAGCCAAGGCAAATCAATGAGGAATCAGAGACAAAAGAGGTAACTAACTGGGAAGTGATAAGAGATTTAAAAACTGCACATGGAAGAGCACCGCACAGGAGGCAGGACCACCTAAAATCAGGAGGAGCGAGAGGTCACTCCTTGGATGAAAGTGTCAGGATTGGAAAATCAATTAGCAATGAGGACAAAGCACCTGGAACACGACCCACTAGGAGATGGATGTCAAGTGTGTGGGTTAAAAAAAAGGAAATCTACTGTTTACCTCAAAGGGAACAAGAAGGAGTGTCCCCTTGGTGAGTGATATAAGCCGCTAATGTCAAAAAGTCAAAATGAAACAGGATCATTCAAACCAGAGAAGAAGATGAGTGTTTTACCTTGGACTGGCAGAAGTGACTGGATGTGAAGGGGATAAGACCTTTCGACTGGAGACCATTATCATGAAGCCTTCTACTTATAGAACCACACACACCCCCACCTTTAGAGATGAGCATCAGAGAACAGAAACAATCCAGAAGAGGGGAAGGAAATGGTAAACCCAATGTTGTGAGGGATATATTGAACTATCAATGCATATAGACAAAGAGGGAAGAGAAAAACCCAAAGTAAAGGCTCAGGTAAAAGAAAACACCTTTGAATGCATTCAAGGAGGAAAATGGATGATACCAATGGAGGGGATGTTTAAAAATACACACCACAAAGAGACTAGAATTTGAAGTATGCAACAGGAACAATTTATCCAAATGGTAAATCCAACTACACAAGTCAACTATGGAAGGAGTAGAAGAGTATGTTAAGACTACCTCTGTTTGAAATGAGCTAACTGAAGCTAGACATCCAATGAATGGTGTTGGTAAGTTGCCCAAGTAACATAAAATCAGGAAGAAAATCTGCCTGATGGTAAGCTAAGGCAAAAAGAATTAAAGACTGTATAGGGTGAGGCTTTCAAGTACCCAATCTCAAAAGAGAGACAAAAAGATCATCAAGAAACAATGTCATGAGAAGGGGAATATACTGTGAAATGTGTCTAAAAAAATAACAACTGAGATAGGCCTAGCAAATTCTGCAGCAGAGGCCTGGAAGGCAATCCATGAGAAGGTGGAGGAAAACTGACAAAATATAGGTTATCTGAAAATGGGTTTAGCCATTATAGGAGAAAGCGAGCAATATTGGAAGCAGGTACCATGCACCCCGGCCCCAAGGGGCCCATACAAAGGAAATGAATGGTAAGAAAAATAAATTATAAATTAAACAAAATGAATGGTAAGAAGTATAAATTATAAATTAAACAAAATTAATGGTAAGAAGTATAAATTATAAATTACACAAAATTAATGGTAAGAAGTATAAATTATAAATTAAACAAAATTAATGGTAAGAAGAAATTATCAATTAAACTAAATTAATGATAAGAAATTATACATTAAACGAAATGAATGGTAAGAAGTATAAATTATAAAGAAAGATGAAAATGAAATAGTCAATATAGTGTAGTGAAATAAACATATGTTTGTGATGTCGTGTGTTGAAGAAAATATATTTAACCTAACTATCAATTAACCTTTTATCACAACCATGAGTAAACCAAAAATAACACTCTTATTATGCCTAATCAAACAAGATATTTTACCTAATTATCGATGAATCCGGAAGTAGAACTACAGATAAACTGAAAATAACAAACACTGGGGAAGCCTAATTGAACAATACAGAACAAAGGATATCACTAGGCACTAAAATAAAAACTTAACAGAACAATAAGTAGGTACAATACTGGGAGAAGTTTGTATGGATCCCAGCTCAAGGTTCCACACAAATCAAGTGAAGAAGGATAACAGCGAAGTAATAACAAAAATGAAATAGACGTGGTTGTATGAGACTTAACGTATGGAAGAAAAAACAATATAGTTAAACTAGTGATTGATATACAATTATAATGAATTACAGGTAATATTAAAATAACAGACCATGGTAAGCCTAAATGAATGGTATAGGAGAAAAGATACAACTAAGACTAACTGCCAATCTTAATTTGACTACGAGTATTAAGAAGATGCATTCACAAGCTCAACTGTCCATAAAATAAATATCACACACAGCCTATACACACTTTATCCTAAGTCATGTTACTAGTAAAGATGCATTCACAAGCTGAACTGTCCATAAGTTAAATATCACACACAGACTATACACACTTTATCCTAAGTCATGCTACTAGTAAAGATGTATTCACAAGCTCAACTGTCCATAAGTTAAATATCACACACTACAGAAATACTTCGCTATATAGACTTTACTGATATATGAAAATGTGCAACAATCCCCACTACAAGTAGTGTTTACATAGCAAAACATTTCCCCCTTTCAGGGGTATGTTTTAAATAAAACGTTTTGAGAAATTATAAAGAATTATGGGACATTTGTGGTATGAATTGGTAATATGGAAAAATCATAAATCATTTCAGTTACCAAATGTATCCACAATTTTCTATCATTTTATGTATGAGAATAACTACTAACTATTAAATGTTTAGTTCATACCATGTTCATTATAAAACCATCATGTCTATTCAAAAGGTTTAGAAAAGGGCTCCAGACAGTTTCTCGTTTCTTCTTTGAATATTCCTTGAAAATTTCCACTCTCGATTTATCTTCCTGTTGAAAGAAAAATTGTCTACAAACAATTGCAAAATACTGTAATCTTTCATCTAACACTAAAAATAACTATTTACAAAATAATTTGTGTGACGAACTCAAACCAAAACAGGGTGTAGTAATTATAATGTGCAATATATTCTTTATTTATCGTAATAAGTAGGAAAATAAGGAAACATGCATAACTTACCTGTAACATATCATCAATCATTATCAAGATGTACTGAATAGTTTGATCTTTTGAAATATGGCCAAGTAAGTTTAGAAATGTTCTAGCACACTGTGCTCGCTGACTACACAAAATGGTTTCTCTTTGTTCTGGAGTGGATGCATCAAATGCCACAACAAAATTGTAATCCTCCTGACTAATCATCTGGCTCCTACAAGAAACAAAAATAAAATAAATAAAATTAGTAGACAAAATATTCTCCCATAAAAACAGACTTCCGTCTTTTTATTGTTTGATAAATGACTTTACTTGATAAATCAATGTTTAGCCAATACTGCAATAAAGAAAATTTAATTTGTTAAAAAAATGAAAGTATGTCAGTTTCTTCACTTCACATTTGTAAAGGTGTTTTCATTTCTTAGTTAATAAGGTTTTGAAAACTTAATCTTTGTCACATGGAATTCTGTGTTATAATCAACTTAGTTGTTAGGTTCATAAGAATATTCTAATCAGAGTTTATTTCATACTTTTCTCATAACTTAAATATGATCATTTAAAAAATAATTTGTATTCTTCACATATAAACAATTTCTTAAGACTACAAGCTTAAACATGTTTATTTTATCATACAAAAATTATAAACTACACTTTAACTTAACCTTATAATACTTCTGGGACTCTATTATGAAAGTAAATACTTATCGAGTTGCTAATGTGTTACAATGTACATCATGGCAAAATGTGTCAAGTATGTTAATAATATAAGTAAAAATGCTTCTTAACTGGCCAGTTCTAAAGGCCTTTGCACAAAATTGCAATAAGTTAAACTTTCAAACACAGAATATGTGTATTGTATCCTCACTCCCTCTAATACAGCTCCAGAACTCACAAAATGTGTGAAGATAAACCTACAATAAAACTTTAGTCAACCTGATTCTAGTTAAATTATACCATTTTAAGAAATCTGCAAGATATAAATCCATCCTCTGATCCAAGGGAAAGTTAAGTTTTAAAATTATTATTATTGGTTATGAGTAAAACTCACTATTTACATGGTGAATTAGTTACGTAGAGAAAAAGATACTTTCATGAAAAAAAAACAATACCTAACCCAGCAGATTACATAGAGACACGGTAACAGGTGGAAGGTGGAGACACGATAACAGGTGGAAAGGTGGAGACACGATAACAGGTGGAAAGGTGGAGACACGATAACAGGTGGAAGGTGGAGACACGATAACAGGTGGAAGGTGGAGACATGGTAACAGGTGGAAAGTGGAGACATGGTAACAGGTGGAAGGTGGAGACACGGTAACAGATGGAAGGTGGAGACAAGGTAACAGGAGGAAGGTGGAGACACAGTAACAGGTGGAAAGTGCCATTGAAAGAAATTTCTACACAATAGTTATATCCTTCTTTATAAAAAATCATAACATGAAAAAAAGAAAAATCATCAGCCTAACGCAAGACACGAACTCCCCGCCAACTAAAGCCTGTGTTCCCCCAGAAGACATTGTCAATCGCATGATCTGGGGACTAGTGTCAGAGCTATTATATACTATCGTGGTCATCTGCCATATTAAATCTGAGTTTCATATGAACAAATTAGAATTTGGAAAACAGAATATTTCTAAAACAAACCAGTAGAAACAATGGAAATCAAACACAAGAAGTTGAAAGTGATAAAAATTTGTGATCAACCACAATCAAAATTTTGTAGTCACATGGGGAGTGAGTTAAAACATACGTCTACACACTAGAATGCCAGTCGAGAAAGTGGGGATTGTGCTAAAATAGCAGACGGAGCTACCTGCACTAGTATAAATGGCACAGTATCATTGGTGGAGAGAAGCCACATGATCAGCACGTTCTGAAATGTCACAAAAATAAGGGGGTATAAAAGACTGGTGTATTGTTAGTGATAAAATTTTAGCAAGGTCAAGATAGCCGAGTGAGCGGAGGTAGTACTGTTTCAGAATTAGGAAATTAAGTTGAGAAATTAGACACTTTCAATGGCACAACATAACCGTTTGGCAAACAGAAGAAAACTCGTACATACTTTATAGTAACATGGCCTGAATCATAATCAAACTCCCAAACATGTCAATAATGAATAAATAAATAAGGCAAGCATTTCATAATAGTGGTGAATATACTGTATTTATAATGCACATAACTGGTAACATTTGTAACTACATTCACCTTATCATGGTGCTAAATCTTCCTTTCACATATAGGTGGGAACATTTCATTACTCAAGGCATGTAGCTCAATACAGAACAATGATGAAGGGAGAATATCAAAGGGAGAAAGTGAATAATAATATATTAATTGATAGAAGTAATGCAATTCTAGCAGTGCACAGCTAGATCTATTGAAGAGTATATGAATCGCAGCTGAATCAATAAATATTCTTATAAAGTAAAAAAACTATATAAATTCTAAAATTTTTACTTATGTATCAGAGTTTAAAAAGATTGAGAATAAAATGACGGTAAAAAGACACAAAAAGTTGGAACAACACATACTTATTTTTCGCGTAAATTAAAGAATGCTTACTGTAAGTATGACTGCCAGTTGACTCGCTGAGATCGAATGTCATTAGCTCTCTGCTGCAGTACACTTGTTGCAGCTAAAACACCTATGAAAATTATAGGTATTTAGCATAAAAAATAAATATAAAGAAAAGAAAGTAATATATGTATATATATTACTACTTTGTGAGATAAAGTTTGTTAACCACATGTGAAAACAGGAGAATAAGTTACCCTAAATTTAGTTTTAATCCAACAATAAGGTATTTTCCTTATGAGATGAATAAGTTGTTATTATGTGAAATACAGCAGTTCAAGTTTTTGTACCAGAGATGTAAAATTAATGGCGACTTCACCCTATAATCTGGAGTTCATTGTACAGAAATTGACTGTTTTGGTCATCACAATATCTGGCAATCAATAAAAGATGATAAAATTGCCTTTCAACAACACTTTAATAACAGAGCTTTCAAACATTACAACTTCTGTGTTTATCAATTCACTCCTTGCACCAAAAAGGTTTTAGTGGAAGTCCACTGCCTTTTGTAAAATAACCCATAGAAGACCTGATTTCAGTGCTAAACTAGTCAATACATACAAGTAAAATGTTTAAAAATCATGTTTACCCTAGTTTCAGTTGCAAGTGTTGGGTAGGAAAGCGTGAAAACATTGTAGATGCAGTCTGGATGAGGTTCCTGTTGAAGTTAAGATGAGCAGAAAGAGAGGTTACTGTACTGGCCCTAATTAATGCCCCTGGGGACATTGCAAACTGTAAAGGGGTGGGGCACTAATTATAGTATTCGTGCAGTTCCCAATTATATTTTTCACATGCACTTTGTCGCTTTCAATACTAATAAGTGTTTTTATTTTTTTTCAAATCATAAATATGGTAATAAAAGTCAATTTTATGTTGGATTACTATTGCTACCACACAAGGTAATTATGAATAATTAATTGTGAAAGGATAGTCACATATTATGTTACTGATGGTGAATAAACAACTTTATATAAAGTCCTATCAATATTTATTGTTGTTTCTACTAAGTGTTATGAACATGTTGAAAGCCATTCTTACAGCACATATCAAGATTACAATGGAATGACTCTGAGCTAAGGTAGCTAACCTGGCTATGGGAAGTTTTCAACAACACCAAAACAACATTTTGGGAGTCTAATTATATTTTCTAAAACAATAGATCAAATACTAAAGTTATTTAAAAAAAAAGAAAGACAATTTTTGAGAAATTAATTAATCAGATTTTTCTCTTGTTCAAAGTTGCCACTAAAATATGGAAATTTCTGTATGATCAAATCATGATTCTTAGGGTTAGAAAATATTACTAGTAAGATTACACAGTTGTAATTTACTTTCAAACACTTCCATGATGGTATGAAAACTGCAATGTTTTAGAATGTATTCCAAACAGTATTATTGTTGAGTGTTCAATATTTATTCAAAACCATTATTTTTACTGTTTAAAAGTTTATAATAAAATATTGCTACTGACTTGACATGCTTTACACATGTAACAAACCATTTGATCAGTTAATGTATAAAATACTAAATACAGTATTAACTGATAAGACATTAAAAATCTCAAATATAGAAGTCACTTTGAAGCTGCTTTTGATAAGTCAGAATAGCAGTTTTAACGGTCAATATGTAAAATTTATGGTTAATAAATAAGATACCAAAGTTTGTGCACACTGATTACACACATTCAAATTCAAACAGTACTCTAAAGTTACTTTTATTAAATTTCCCCTTTAAAATCTATTAAGTAAGAACATGTGCATTTGCCCTTATATATTTTTAATTTGGAGGTTACGAGGCAGGAGTTAGCTTTAATTGATCAGTCAGCCAAGATAAAGGGCATGCCAAAAAAATGTGGGAAATTTCTATCTGAGAAGTAGATTCATGAGAGATTAGAGAGAAATGGGATAAAATTACAGATAAGCATTTAAGGTTTAGAAAATTAAATTTATAGTCAAGAAGGAAGATTTAAGGAGTGGACTGCAAGAGTTAAGAAGAAAACTTGGATATCAAACAGCTTATGAAGAACAGTTGGTACATAATGTTAAAAGTAACAGTAAAGATTTCCTCGGATATGTTATAGATAAGCAGAATGTGAGAACAGGAAATGAATCTCTTAAAGATTATGTGAGAGTATTAGTTCGTGACTATGAGGTAATTGAACTTTTAAACATTTTTCTCATCAGTTTTTAGTGATGTTGTTGGATTTCAATTTGGAGGAAATGTTTTGGGAATGTTTGTTTGTTTTTGAATTTTGCGCAAAGCTACACAAGGGCTATCTACACTAGCCATCCCTAATTTAGTAGTGTAAGACTAGAGGAAAGGCAGCTACTCATCACCACCCACTGCTAACTCTTGGGCTATTCTTTTACCAATGAATAGTGGGATTGACCGTCACATTATAATGCCCCCACGGCCGAAAGGGTGAACATGTTTGGTGGGACGGGGATTCGAACCCGCGACCCTCAGATTGTGAGTCAAGGGCCCTAACCACCTGGCTATGCCGGGCCTATTTTTTTGGGAATGTGTATGATATAAATTCTAATCCAGAGTCTGTTAGAAAAAAACTTGATACTTTTAAACTAGATATAGCATGTACACTAGAGTTTAAAATGAGGTCATAGACTAGATTTCTCAGAGACTAACTTTCATGCTTGGTAGGTCATTAAACACATTTCTGAAGTTGGAATGTAATACTGCAATTTTTAAAGGGGAGGAAATAAACACTGTGATCTGGATAAGGGTTAATAAGTGGATTTGGTTTGCTTTGATTTTTCAAAAGTTTTTGGTAAGATGATATAAAAAAAATTACATCAAGATGAGTAGGAGATATGTTAATTAAATTGGTTAGGTTTGAATTTTGCACAAAGCTACCCATGGGCTATCCAGACCAGCCATCCCTAATTTAGCAGTGATAGAGTAGAAGGAAGTCAACAAGTAAACACTGCTCACTGTTAACTCTTGGGCTATTCTCTTACCAACAAACAGTAGGTTTGACTGTCATATGGCAAGAATCTTTGGTGACAGTGATTTGAACCCACAACCTGCAGATTGAGAGTCAAGCATTAAATGCTTTAATTGATATAAATTTCATTTTATAAAAAATATATATTTTTTTTAAATTCTGACCACAGACTCTCGTTTGAGAAATGCTGTTCTTTCTGTTATGTTAAACTGCCCTTGGGAATAAAAGAAAAATGATGGATTTTCTTTAAGTTAACCAATAAACCAGATGTTGAATGTTTGCTTGAAGTCTCACCATTTTCATTCATTGGCCTTCACTCAGTGTCAAAGTAGATAACTGATATAAATGTGAGACACTAACTTAACTTTTATATTCATTCTCTACTTTACTAATACTAATATAATTAATTCAACTTGATAACTTGCAATATTCAAAAAATTAATATACATCAAACTCAGTGCATAACATAAAATAACTATCCTCTGTATCTATATTATACATATTAAAGATTAATGATACAAAAAACTTCCAAAACGAAATTTTCTGACCTTATTTTAACTTTTAGTTAGACTGTACACATAATACTAACAGAAGTAAAACTAAAATTACAATAGAAATATGTTAGTAAGTTTAACTTTAATGCCTACTGGGCATAGTTAAGTCCGAAACAAATTTAATATACGAGTCTTTTTGATGATTATGGGGAAAAAAAGCTACATACCTCCCTTTTCAATGTCATCTGGGAGGGATGAGAGCACAGAATTAATTTTTGAGGAGACTATTGTCAGATCCGTCATGGTTGGCTTTTTAAGTTTTATCAGAAGCACCAAGCCTATATTTATATATATTATATTTATAGCGCCGTAGTGAGGTTGGTATTATTAGTATAATCTGAATCAAACCTTTTCTTATTTTATAATCACCTTAAATTAACAAGAAGTTCTAACGCAAAGATGTGGGTCTAAAGTGGAAAAACGAAGTTAAAATAGCATGAAAACTGGCTTTAGTATTTCCGTACTCTTTTTTTAATTTCTTAAATAAATCATGTGATTATGCGTTAATGTTTACCGTCTATCAGTACCAACGCTCCTGCCATCTACTTGCTTAAAGTTATACTGTAAAATTTATTTTTCCTAACTCCTATTCCCTTGTGGCTCAGCAGTAAGCCTCAAGGCTTATAACACTAAAAATAAGGTTTCGATACGGGCGCTGGGCAAAGCACAAATATCCACTGGGTGTCTTTGTGCTTAACAAACTAATATAAGGCAGCCTGATATTAAATACTTATAAATTTCGTATATTGGTGGTTTAATTAAAGTTCTATTTGTACAAATAAATACTTAAATAGAATAACAATTCTTGCACAAAAATTTATTAGTGTTACCACATTCTTTATATAAGAATTCATAACTAGTTGTGATTCTATATGAATTAAGATATTGAAAATGTTTACTTTAAAAAATATTGATATTTACAGTTTTAAAACTTGAAATACAAACCAGTAATGTTTTTATGGTAAACTTTGCAGCTTGTTATGTAGTTATGGACTAAAGTGTGTAAAAAGCAAGTTTATGATCTTGCTATTGTTCTGTGGTGAATCAAATACTATTGTGTTTACTATTAAGATAATTCAAGAATTGGTGAACACGATCAAGATCTAAAAGGCACTAAAACAGTATTCTATATAACCTCGAGACACCATGAACATTCCCAGTTGATCAGTGGCTCATCGAAAAATTTGAGATTTTTTTTAAAACACTATTTAAATGTAGTGCCAAATTCCCTGTTAACAGTTAGTAGCGTGGCACAGATGTAGCTTGGTTAAGCGATAAACCAGTAATTACGCTTTTCAAATTATTTTTGGAGGAATTAGTTTCAATTAATGCAACTTTACGGTCCTATTTACTAAGACTGATAATAAATGTAATAAACGTTGGACTTCTAAATGAAAAACCTACACAGTATATTTTGGTTTAATTTGTAAATTTTACGAATATTACTAGTACATATTATAGGCTATGTAGCATTAAGCGCAGTACTCAGTTCAGCAGGTTCAAGAACCCCCTAATTTCAACAGAGGGCCGGTATAAAAGTAATTTTCCTAGGCCGTTTTTAATCGTCAATCTATCTCTGTCTATAAACATTTATCCAACCATTGTTTTTCATAAAAACGAAGAACAAAATATTAGCTAAAATAAGGGGGTAATCTAGATCCCATCGATCTGATTATAAAGATTGTCATTAAACAAGAGATGAGGTTCATTTGTGGCTAAAATTCGTTAATTACAAAAATACAAATTTTGGAACGTACACTTCAATTAAATTATTGTTATTAATTAAGCTCTAAACTGTATTGTTTCTTGCAAAGTGGACAAATACGAACCTCTCAATGACAGAAAATATGCTGCTAATACCATTATCGGTCACGGTGGACCCTAGGGTCGTGGAGAGTCTGAATATTAGTTGCTATTGGAACTCATCATTTTTTAGAGTGGGAATTGTGACCAAATGTTCATTCAAACATAGGCATCCCTGAACACTAACAAAACACCATTCTTGACGTTGTCAGTGTTTCCTCCACTTGTTTGCCAATACTATGTTGAAGATGCTTTTTTCTCTAAATGGTCAAAGAACCTTGTTTATGTTGTAAACCAAATCTCTCTCTCCTGGCATTCAAGGGTATGGCCAAAGAAAAGTACGACTGTTTTCCTAATCATTTCAAGTAGGTCACTACTTGGAATGATTGGTTTCAAATGCTGAGCCTAGACAGTCCAGTAATTGAATCGATTAAGAATTTGTATAAATAGTGAGACATTGACAGCTCTTTTTTGAACATGCAACAGCTAGTCAGATAAAGAAACAACATGTCTTCTCCAATGATCACCTGAGTTGCAATTGACGACCTCCTGATCTTAACTGAATGACCAGCTTTAAATATAGTGCATTAACTTAAAAAAGCAGTTATTGGAAGCAAGTAGTGTTGCTTGTGAACTAAAAGGCGTTGTGAATTTACCTTGTAAGCTATCGAGCAGAGTTATGTTCAGAAATGTGTTGGTGCAACATCGTTTGATAACTGCTCGATTAATACAACCGTTGCTGTTCGTCAACATAATAGTTAAAAATACTGATAATTTATACAACTTTATATGATAAGTTGGATTTCAAAAGTTGGATTTGAAGAGGTTTTTTAACTTAATTTCTGAGATTTATGTTTGATATTATGCAATAATTACTCAAACTAGTTATGGAATATTGGAAGAATTTCAGACTTTGCAATACACATGCAATATCTAGAACGTTTATAATTGGTTGGATTGGAAATAAACGCACGGATTTCTAATACATCTGAAGGTTGAAAGAACTATGTGATCTTGCTATCTGAAACTCAGGTGAAATTTTGTATTGAACATATACATGATGATCATGCGAGAAACCAGTAGAAATGGCTTGTGTGTATGTTTCTATATGAACAAAAGCTTCAGTTGCCTTTAAACATAAGTATGTGAGACCTGCACGTGACTTTCACAAGTACAGTAAGGGAATTATGCCCTTAATTAGCACAGGGTACAAATCAAGCTATGATATATCTTATTTCAGTAATTTTTGTCTGTATTTATGTTCATATGACGCCAATTGCGGCGATTAGATTGACTCATGAGTGGCAGTGCAATATTGAGATAACTCATCTATTCCTATTTGTGGTTGTCTTGAACCATGAATGTACGTTACTGTTAAACACTGTACTGATCCTTTGTCAGTTTGAAAATGTACTTATGTATACTTTACCAAATAGCACGAATATTAATCTAAGCTGAAGGAAGTTTAACTGAAAAATCATATTTATACTCAATTCTACCTACAGTTACGATGAATCTACTGACTCCAAGAGAGAGTTGAGTTAAATATTCTGTAGATAGCAGTAAGTACCGGGTAGTATCAGGTAAGTTGCTATAGTTACTGTGTATAAGTCTTGAGGCAGGTTGCCTGACATTAAATGTAAACATGATAATATATATGATGTAATTATACACAGATATGGCAATATACGAATTTAATATATGCATTTGTGGTGTTACACACTGTCATGATAGTGTTACGTCTCTGTTCGTTTGATAATTTCCCGTAAAATTTCTTTCCGAGGAACTTCAGCGATACAAGCCCTTTCT